TTTGCAATGTACTGAGATTACCATGTTTAGATGCATACTAAAAATAATATTTATTTTACTAGCTTCGTATATATTTATTTTTTTTATTTTTGGCTAGACGTTATTTTTGGGTGGCGTGTGGTGTTTTTTGATTTGTTTTTTATTTATTTTATTTTCTTCATTTTTTAATAGACATGTCAATGTTTAAATCTTTTAATTTTTGTCTTTCGACTTCCCTTCTCTACATGTCCTCCTCACATCACAAACCTATTAAATTGAGTTTAGAATCAAACAACTCACACAAGATAAAAAACCACTCAATGTTTCTTTATTAATTATTTTATTGGGCCTGTTTGGCAAGCTCCTCGCCGGCTCCTGCTCTGGCTCCTTCAAAGGAGCCGTGCCAAACGTTTTCATGGAGGAGCCTTTTTCAGTAAAAAGAAGAGGAGTCGGAGCCATTTTGGAGGAGCCACAAATTGTGGCACCTCCAAAACGGCTCTGGCTCCTCCAGAGGAGCGCCGCAGGAGGAGCCATGCCAAACACCCAAACAACTCATGCATACATTTTTTTATTGCGACCGACTGTAAATCTTAGATGACCCATCGTGTGTTTTGGTATTTTTAGCGACCCCCTACGATACTAATTTTGGGATGCCTATTTTTTTGCTGTAGTGATTATGCGTATATAGAATAAAGTACCACATTTAACAACATTGGCTAAAATATATTAGGAAAATAATAAAAATAAAAAACATATGGACCCACTCGACCATGTGGCTATGGAACATGCCAACATAGACATCAATGTTTAAAATATCAATAAATTACTTTGTGACACACAAAGTCTATCATAGATTGATAGCATTTGTAAATTAGATTTTATGACGCAGAAAATACCTATGTGACATAGCAAATATCATCATTGGATGAAATTGGACTAGCCATATGACTTTTTTGTGACATACAACTTTTTATTATCTGTCGGGGTCATAATACACCAGGTATCTCAAGGCATGGATTAGTCGGTAGGCCGAATACGCTAGCCAGTATAAGCCCAAGCGACCGAGGCCTAATTATACAGCGAAGGCCAAACCAAGCGCCAAGGCAAGGCCTATGTTGGTGCAAAAATATGGCCATGCAGTCAACACACAGCAAGCCGGACGATCTGAACGGAATTAGATTGGAGATCTGCTTAGCTTCAACACAGTACCAGTTGATTCTGAAAACCCAGCGGTGTGCCAGTCAATTTGACCTGTAATTGACAAGGAGAGAAAATCTTATGAGTAGTTTAAGGCGGAACATGTCGGTGTTGCTCCAGACAGTTCCAAATATGTGGCTAAGCAGCTAACAAGTGCAATACACCCATGGGTCATAGCGATTTTATTATGACTCATTAATCCAGACATAACAAGTGCAATACACCCAATATAAGTAATATAAAGAAACTTCATCAGCTAGATGGATATAACCAATGTAAAGCATTGAGCCAATAAGTTTAACGAGAAAGGATATAACATGTGAACAAATCGACTGTCTAGTACAAATGAATCTACAAACGCTCTGTATCTAATCTGTTACCCTGAACAGTGAGGTTTGATCGGATCGGTACAACTATGATAATAATAACAAACTAAAGCCAAAGAATCTATAGAACCGTCTATATATCGACAGGTTCATAAACAAACATGCTATATGCGTGAAAAGCACATGCGAATTGGCTAAAATAGCCGATGCATGCATAGCAAATAAACAGAGTGCATATCTTGATCATGAACAAAACCACTAATCAATAATCTCTAATCCAACGTCTTACCAGTGAGGTTCGACCGGGTCGATGCAGCTATAGTTGTGTTATTAGATTAGATCTTATTAACTAGTGAACTTACTCAAGATTAGAACATGTCTTTGAATGCATACTATGTTTGATTGGAATAGAGATAAAATAGCCGATCTAGCAGAATTAAGCCATCAATTATAAGATTCAAAGTGTAACCATACTAGAAGATGACCAATTAAGATGATGTGATGCCGATTCTATCTCTATCTCAATCAGGTGATTCGTTATAATTAATAAAACATTAATTATAACAAGATCGATAACTGGTGAATCAACCAAAAACAGCATGGAAAATCTTACTAATCTTAGTAGATTCGATAACTAGTGATATTGTGTTAAACAACAAGTCATTTAACACAAGATCGATAACTTTGATCTATATAATGGTTCATAAGAGATCAATCAGCTGAAGCAGCCTTACAAACAACAATATGAATCGATAACTAACTTATATTATAACTCATAAAAGGTCAATCAGCTGATGCAGCTTTACAAGCATAATACAAGTCGTGACGGTGCTCACAGATAAGCCGGAGGTCGATCAGCCGATGCAGCCCTGCTTGTTGAAGAACTCGCCGAGTTTCTACGGTACTCCTACTCCTAATGCGATGGCAAAAGCTAGAAAGATTGTGTTGATTGATTGTTTGTGTCCTTGTACAATAACCGGGGTCCAATATTTATACTCGGAATCTAAATATGAATCCTACTCAAATGCGACTTATTATAATTCTTGGAGTAAAAGAAAACATTCCTAACTTAAAATAACTTGGACCCTAATATTTCTCTTTCTGTAGAGTCTGACATATCTTTCCCCATTGTCCATCGACGTCGTCTGTTGACGTTGTCCAAAAAGAGCCGATTCCAGTACCGCATCTAAATCAGCTAATATCGATCCTTACGCAATCGATTCCTTAATGACACAATCCTGAAAGCTTTGAGTCCCAGCGCTCTCCTTCCAAAATTTTGGTGTAAATAGCACTTGACCTCTCCCCCTGCCTTAGTCATGCACCGAGGTAGCGGCTCACGACCTCTCCACCATGACCTCCCGGGAATGACGATAAGGGACCAAGTCCCGCCAAGCGTGCCTTGGTCCGACAGGGAGACAGTGCGCCATGACCGACCTCATAAGGACCGAGGGAACAGCGGTCACCTCGGTTCGGTCGACGCCATCCCCACCATGTCGTGGGAAAACACGATACTACCCAAGCGGTAGCGGTCGATATGATGGCCCACCGTCCACATACGGTTCGACAAGACACATGTACGTTTCCACCCACTACGGGATGGGAACCACGATGGAGGCCTTGAGGCCTCCCCCAACCAACAGAGGCCACGACCAAATATGAATAGATGTTGAGTTGGATTTGGCAAAGCCATAGAGAGTGTAAGGAAAATGGACCCTAGGCCCATTTACTTTGGATTTTGGTGTTTGATGACCAACACAACCAAATTGGACTAATGAATTTGCAAGTGTTTGTTTTGTAGTTCAATAGGGTGCAAGACGTGACTTGGGCGAAAGGCGACGTAATGATCCGATGATCAACACCATAAGCAAGACCTTAGGAGCACAAGAAAAGATCCAAGATATCAAGCAAAGTCCAAGCACGAAGATAGGAACTAAGCCGTATTATGCAAGATCGCGAAGAAACGAGCTCACAGAGGTGACCGGACGCTGGACCGAGCGTTGGCGAAGCGGCCGGACGGCCGGGAAGAAGCGATCGGACGCTAAACTTTGGCAAGCGGGCGGACGGACGCCGGATCGGATCTTGGCGGTAAAACCGACCGGACGTAGGGACAGCGGCGTCCGATCGAGTATAGAGAGGTTCTAGAGCGGCGATATTGCGGCCGGGACGCATCCGGTGGCAAGTGACTAGACGGCAGGCGGCGTCCGATAAGTAAATCATGGCTTCAATGGTCGGGACGACCAGACGCGTTCGATCGAGGCGATTTGGTGTCCGGTCGATGCGCAAAAAGCGGGATTTCGTCCCTAACGGCTACTTTCTCAGCGGGGCTTATAAATACAACCCCAACCGGCCATTTGAGGTGTGTGGAGCTGAGAAACATACCAAGGGTGTTGTTACACCATTTTAGTAATCTCCACTTGCATAGTGATTAGTGTTTTATTAGGTCATTAGCGTGGGTGCTTTGCAAAGTGCTTAGGTTGATTAGACCACCGCTTATCGCTTGCTCTAGGTTTAGGCCTAGTGTTTAGTGAGGTTTGCATACCTCTTACCGCCCGGTGCTTACGAGCACCATTGTTGTACATCGAAGGGGCTTGTAGTCCTGCGAGATCACACCAACCGTTTTGTGGTGTGGCCTGCCACCGTGTCTGGGAGGGAACAAGGCCCATGGCGTTTGGCCGGGAAGCTTGAAAGTGAAGACGGCGGGGAGCATCCGGGAGAGGCTTGCCGGAAGGCACGTCGGAGACCCACTAGTGTGTGGGAAGGCCCGAGGCTATCCACGGAGTTACCCGAGCCGGGAGCTTGGCCCTTGCGAGGATTCCTTGCGAGGGGCTCCAACGAGACTAGGGGAAAGCTTGGCGGCTTCTTGATACCTCGGTAAAAATACCAGAGTCGTCGACGGGAGTTTGCATATCTCTACCTTGCTCTTTAACTTCCGCATTTACATTGTTTATATTATT